AGATAAATACCTACAATATACTCCTACTTATAATATTCATTGTCTGAGAATATATTATGGTTCAAACAAATGATATTTCCATCGCATGTATCATCAGCATCACTCAAACATATGTTGATCGTTTAAATGTTTTCATGAAAATATGAAATGTGTGATACGCCGTATATAAACCCATCAAATGATTTTGTGTAGATTTGTGACGAGCATCTTTATAAGTGTTAAAAGAACGATGGGCGATGAGTTTGTCCTAAGTCACTCAGATCCTTTAAGCTTTATTAAGCGGATAAAGTTTCATTACAGACATCGTTTACGGATAGATGTGTAAACGACATAAGATTTTTTTTTTGTTATTAGCGACAATCCACCAGTAGCTTGGAAAGTATCCATTACAGTAAACTAGCTAGATGTTTTGAAATTTGCCTTTAAATGTAGATGCATGCAAATTTTCTACTTTTACTCCATATAAGCTGTTAGTGGTTTGCTCACCAACAGCTCAATTAGTTGAGAATAGTGAGCTTTCCTCAAGCGTCATAGTCAAACTTCGACAGGCTTAAGCAAAGCCAAATGGTACGAACAGCCACTTGAAATAGATGTCTCTTGCTATAATTCAGGCTGCAATTCAGCGATTTTTAGCTGGTCCGTGCCAAGCAAGTTTATACAATTTGTAAACACCATGTAGTGTAATTGGTGTCGTTCCTTCTTCTTTACTACTTTCTTATCTTTTGGTGGTCTCATGTCCAGCACTCACCTGATGAAGAATTCTTACTGGTAATGGAGAGGGATATACATATATGTAGGAAGAGTGACTTATTATCCGCCTGAATAGTCGAATAGATAGGAACCGCGAGGATTAAGTCAGCGTTCGCGGATTAAAATCTCGAGGATGGTAAAGTTTTCTTTGGCCGCAGCTATAGTCCTTGCTCTCTCTGTAAAACCATAACACTTATAGGTTTGCCACACATCCACTTGATTATGGCCACCATTTCCCCATTTATTTCTCTTTCCTCCTCTTCTTTCTAGCTGTCATCGTGTTTCATCATAGTAAAAAAAAAGATGTTTGTGCTTTACTCTTATAGATAAGGACGGAAATCATAATATCTTCATGGATAAATGTCTAATAATTTAGGTCGAAAAGAAAACATAATATCTTTTTTTGGATAGAGAGAAAAGCCAGCATAGTAGTCGCGGTCGTGTAATAATATATCACGTCTTGTGCTTGGACACCGTTCTGAGCAGGAATTATAATAACTTCGCGTACAGATGTAACGGGACACATAGGGGTTAGTTTTAGGTTTTTTTTTGTGATTTGCTATTTGACTTTTACTAGTGTTGTGCTCATTCTATAAAAAAAAAAAATGCTTCGTGCATTATAGCAATAGCAATTTTTTGGTACATAATCTAAGAAGGTCTTTACCTATCAAACGAGTTTTAAACTAGAAGACTCTGCCACCACGATTTTTCCCCACAGCATAAGCGACAATAACCTATGCTCAACACTCTTGATCTTCTTGAGTATCGGCGTAATTTGGACTGCCCTGTGCTATGCTTATTCATATATGTTGCCAAGCCAGGTGCTTTAAAAATAAACGAGCTCTGTTCACTAATCTCAAGTTGGGGAAGTTTACTCATTTGCCCAGTTGTTGCCCACACATAATAGTACCTTTAGAATAATCTATATATAGAGGTCTTTGCCATCATTCCTGATGCTGTTACCCTCAAGCTGAATCAGCACAACCATTACTTTTCTCTCCCCCACACCCACAAGTGGCATCATCTGTGTGATTGATTACAATTAAAATAAAAGGAAAAGAAAGAAAGAAATTGAGTGATGCTCACTTCTTCAAAAGGCAATTTCCAAGAAAAACAAAAAATGACATAAATTAAGAAATCGAATGACTTGAAATTGAATGAATTGAAATAATGGACATAATAGTAACTTGTCATTAAAAAGTGCTTTAGTTTTAGAACCATTTGCATAGCATTTACTCCATATCGCATGAGATAGCAATGAAATATAGGGTTTGAATGCATCAACGGCTTCTTCTCATCAACGCGGAAATCGTTGTTCGCGTAATTTTTTGCGTTCGGAAACAAAAAGGAGGCATTGGGTGTGGAATCGTGATTATACGGCAGATGACCAAATGATTCGATTTTTTAGGTGTTAAAATGGTCGACTCTTGGAGCAGAAATGTGGAAGCTTGCATTGTCTTGATGAAGAACGATTCGATAGTGTTTATTTGTTTTCCTGGTTTAAGCTAAGACTCCCGCCAGACAAATATTTGTGCTCTGTTAAAAAGTGATTGCTTTCCTCCAAACTGCTGACCCATTTTTCCCAAAAAGATAAAATAAAAGAACAAGCGTTTAGTTCGGGAACAACATATGTTTGATTCATCTTGGAGTATCCGCATCCTCGACTGCTGTTTACTTTGCAGCTTACAAGCCTAGACATATAACCTGTTGCGATTTTATGTACGTCTTTTGAAGCCCCATAATTGGATTCCTTGAGTGTTTGCGCGCACCAATCGACGGGAGCACCTTTTCGTGTTTCTTTTGCAAATGAGATGGAATCCAAAGAACATAACATTCTTATCGCTTAAATGATTATGGAATATTTTGAATTTGCTGGTGGAAACGTTGCCTCAACCTCGGTTTGTCAAATGTCGTGCTTGCTTTATCGGTTGTTGCACATCACCAACGCTTCTCACTGCAATAGCGAATTTTGAAGGACCTTCGTGACTCACTGTCCGTCGCGACTTAGTTCGTTGTAATAATGTCGGCCAGTCGCAAGATATGGCATTTGATTGCCAAAATTGGAAGTAAGTCGACCAATGCATACTTGTCTGGAAATTCACATTGATAGTCGAAACAAATCATTCCACCAATATTTTACGAGTTAATTCCACTTTTGCGACGAGACACTATTTTTCAAGTCTTGTAAAGAACCCAAATGACATTCGAATGTATAATGTCCGAAATGAAAGGATCGAAAACTTTCAATCAATTTTGTCACAACGACTTTACAAATTATTTATTAATCCAATCTTAGCAGCTATGATAATAAAGTGGTCTTTTAAGCATTCATTCACTACGCGGTGTTCCAGACTTATGTGTTTCATTTCTCTCGTCTTTTATTGTCGTGATTTCTAACCGAGACTTACACGTAGCTCTCGATAACCTACCATTCGTTGTACTTAAATCAATTTTGTGGATGTTGAACGAATATATGTGCTCTATGGCGTTCCCGAGTTTCAATCTTGGCGTTGCAAGTGCTTTGACAAAATGATTTCAATACTCCTGTTACTTTCTGATCGATACCTATCTCTTAAACATTGTTTGTCTGAGTAACGTTGTTAGGCTCATATATATTGCAAGCATTGTGACACAATGAATACCTCATTCCCGATACTTTTTGATCGATACCCGTCGCTTAAGCATTATTTGTCTGGATAGTGCTGTTATGCTCATAGAGTAAACGTTCTTCTATGAAAGGGAAGCTGAGAAAAGCCATGGCGCACACACACACAGCGACTTTATAATTCTTATGCAAATCAGTGCATGATAGTAGATGCGCTTTACCTTGCAAGGGCAATCTTTTGCTAAATAAATTTTTTTTGAAATTATCTTTTAAAATGCTAACAACTTGCTAACGAATTTGTTTTCAAAACTTACTTCTGTTTATGGGTTAAATAAGAGAACTTTTTTATTTGGTATCAATATCGAAAACAAAAATTTTTCTCGATCTACTTCTTTGACATAGTTATCTAAATTTTTGATAATATTTTTGTGTAATTTTGTTTTTTTTGAAAAAGTTTGAAGAGAAAGAATTTTTATTTTTTTTATTTTTTTTTTTTGAAATTCAATTACAGACATAAAGAAAAACTTTTTAAATATTTAACCACTTGTGAATTGAAAAGTTTTCCCAGGTTATTTATCTATATTGATAGTAAACTAAAGTTTCGACGGAAACTTGAAATTTGTGCTTCTACTTTTTATAGCTGAACTCAAATGACCAATGACACGTTTTATGTAAACAGAAGGCAGTAGAAAATTTGATATCAAAATGTGAAACGCAGTGATATTGTCTTGGTTGCCAGCGTGTGCGAGCATGTATGGAGGAAATCTTTGCCTATTCCATTAAATTAAAACTAATAAAATATGTTGGTTTTTATGCCGAATAAAAATGCTTGAGTTAAACTCTTTTCTTTCTCTTTCTCTTTTTCTTCTTTCTTTTTTTTTTTTTTATTTATTTCATTGTAAAACAAAGCAAAACTATTTCGATTGTTTGCTAAATAGAAATGCAGAAAAAGTTTTTAGATAGAAAGAGATGGAAATAGAAGGACAGAGTGAGAGAGGAATAGGGGGAGGGAAAGCGAATTGTAAACATAGTTTATGTGTAAACAAGTGAAAGCTTTAGACGCGTTGAGCGCGTTACTATAGCCCATAGAGAAAACAAATTTTTTTGCTTAGAGTTGAAGTAGGAATTCCAAAAAAAAATTAAAAACTTTAAAAACTACTCTAAACTTAAAAATCGTTTAACAGTAATGCAAAACAATGGCCTTAACAGCAACGTAATAAACACAAAACAAAAAATAATAAATAAATACCGAAAACTATGAAGATATGAGTTTCATATACATATATATATATATACATATATATATATAAACTGTAGGCATTTGAGTGCGGTTTTTGAACACTGATTACATTGAAAGTCCAACCAACACAACAATGCACAAACAACGCTCACATATTGTCTAAAGTGTTGTTTGCTTTACATATAAAGCGCAAGAGATGAAGCCAAGTGTTTCATTTGCAGTTTATTTTGTTTTCTTGCTTTTGTTTATTTATTTATTTTTATTTTATTATTGGAATTTTTAATACTTGCTTGTTTGTTTTCATGTTTCTCATTCTCGTTTTGTTTTTTTTTTCCATTTATATATACATATATATATATATATATAAATATATATATTTCATTTTCATTTTCATTCTTTCAACAGGTACGTGATCAAATGGAACTATTAAAAATACCACCCGTTGACCAGTCAATTCCACCAGAGGATATTATGGGCAGATCCTATTGTCGTTATCAAGGACCAAGAACGTGATTACTTATCTTTAGTTACAATTGTTGTTGTACAGTAAACTCATGTATAGTAACAAATGGCTTTAACAGCCATATTGTCTTTACTTTCATATCGTTGTAGTTTTTATAGAAAAATTGAAAACAAAAACCAAAAAAAGAAAAGGAAAAATAAGAGAAAACACAAACCACAAATAACTACAAATACAAGAAGAGCAAATGGAAAAAAAAATAAATAAACCAAGAAAACAACAAATAATTCTCAATTTTTTTTTTTTTTTTTTTTTTAAAGAAATTTGGCCAAAATATTATAGATAAATATTTTGTAAATATTTAAAGGATAGGAAAAAATAGAAAAAAAAAAATACATGCATAAAAATGAATTGTGAAGAAAACGTCTGTAAATATTTAAATTAATATATAGTGAAAGCGGATAAGTTTTTTATAAAAAAAAAAAAATTTTTTTTATATTCAATTTTTTTAATATTTAAATTTAAAAATTTGAAATTATAGAAAACAAGCAATTTTAAGATTAAATCGTTAAAAGCATTTTGCATTCACTTTAAAGCGAATCTTTGATACCCATTTTATATTAAGCACTAAAAATTGTAAAGTTTTTGCGACTTGTGGTCGTATGAGTCAGTCAGTGCTGTTGTTGTCGTTGGCTTGAGTCCTAAATCACTGCCCCCTTTCTTGTTTTTTTATTCTGCATATATTTGCGTAGTGATCATGTATAGGATCTCGGTAAACGTGTGTGCCAAGCTTAAGATCAATATCTTCGTTGGATTTTAAAGTGCGCATATTCTTTGCTCTAGCCTCTCTTGTGGGTGGATAATGCCTCTTTTGCTAATCAACGGAGAATACATATGCAGCATAATATAAGACAAGTGGACTTACAGATAGCTGGTTGATTATTTAGGCATATGGATAGAGAGTTTAATCTTGATCAGGAGTGCAAACATTTGATGGAATCTCTGGCGTGGATTTTCGAAGTTCACTAAAGAAAAGCTAAACTTAGTGCATCTTTAGTCTTTCATGAGTGATGCATAGGAAAATGGTTAAAAAAGCTTGTAGAGCGGAAAGTATGATATAATATTTCTGATTCATATTGAAATACTGCTGAGTAGAGAGGAAATTGAAACTCGTGAAGGAATTTGATGGACGGCAAGCATTGATCTCAAATAATTTAATTCTTTTGGAAAGTTGCATTTAAGGAATGGTTGGATGCCAAGCTAAAAGTACTTTGCCTATATATGCAAATGAGAGACTTCACTTTTAGGAGGAAAAACAGGAGTTTTTGTTAAGATTTATATAAGAAATATTTTATTCAACGTATTGCGAAATATTGTATGATAATTTTCTGATGTCATGCTTCTAGACATCTGCTTTTTTTGCCGCGAACAAAAGCCTTCCTTAAGTACATGTTTCATCGAGGAAGACAAGAGCTACTCGGAAGCTTTCGAGTTTGCTAAGTAAGAAGCATGGGTTAGCATGTCACAGTTTAGTCCTTCCAATGCATTGCGGTTTTGGCGTATGGAACGGTGGATGGATGACAAGTAAAAAAATGATCTTGTGTTGCCGTTTTCGATCGATGTCGCTCTTTTTTTTGAACAGCGAACGATTTGAATCAATTAATCGTTAATTAAATGCCAATAAGGCTCGCACTTTTTTAGTCCAGCCAAAGACAAAAAATTATCTTCCTATTAAGGAGATTCAGTGTCGCAGGCGTATGCCTGGGTATATCTCTTTACTTATACGCCTTGGATTTTCAAACTAAATTAATTTTCTATCCCCATTTAGGGTACGCTGCAACAATGCTGTTCGGACAAAGATCAAATGCCCTTTATTTTACACAAAGGGTCGATATTTTCTTTGTTAGAAAAACGATTTTTGCGTTGCGATGTGTGTTAACATTATGGCTCCAAGCTATAACAAAGCGAGTTTCAGCCATGTATCTCCTCTAAAAGAGACACGAGAGTCATTTATGGACTAGTTCCGGTTTCATACTTACATACCCGGTAAATGCAAAGAGATGGTTAGTAAGCTAAAAAGGAAACTACTGCAACTGTCTATACAACATTTCACTGTAATATTGAATTTGAAGATTTTTTTCTTTTTTCGAAGTATAAGGTGCCCTGACTTTCCTTTGCTTTAAATTTCTACATAAATTTTAAACAATTAGTAGAAAGATTTCACATATTTATTTACTTTCTTTTTTGAACATATATAAATATTTAGTTTTTCAATCATTTGTATCAACAACCATCACATTATTGAGTTACTTATCAAAAGAGCTCGTACACAGTTTTATGTTTACCTCCACACATATTTAGACTCATTAATTATAACAGTAACCTTCATGTGTGCATGCATATGTGTGTAATTAAGCACTAACAGTAAAGTTAACATATGCACACTGTTACACACACTCAAACATATACACGCATACGTAAAGTTGTACAAACAATGATAAATTTTACAATCATTAGCAACATATTATATCGTTGATAATATTTTGTGAGTGAGTGGATAAATCCACCTGTGCGTGTGTGTGTGCGTGTGTATATGCGTGTATGCTTGAGTATGTGCGTGGACACATTGAATAAAATGTAAAACAATTGCCCAGACCTGGATATGTTTACAAAAGTAGGCTAACAGCGATTTATTACCGCCTCACAAATTAGTGTGTGTACGTTAACTATTTAGCACAAAATTATACGAACCACAAATGAAAGGGAATAAATTATTTAACGTCAAATACAAATACAATTGTTTTGTTTTACGCTATATTTATCAAATAGAAACTTACACATATACTTAGACAATTCAATTTTTTTTTTCTCCACTTACTACGTATTATATACATATTTCTTTGCTGCCATGAGAAATATTGGAAACAAAATTTGTTGTTTATTTAAAGGCCGAAGCTGCAAAACTAAATGGATAGCAAGTAATAACATTATATCTGTATGCATTATATAATAGTCTATAGATGCGTTTGTGTAAGTTAAGTCTATTGTCAAAAATTATATAGAATTTAATTAAAATCAACAAATTATTGAATGAGTCCGAGCAGAAGGAAAGACTTTCAGCTTTTTGTTGTTCTCGTAATTTAATGAAATCAAGAAAAGACAATATTTTCTAAAAGTTCGCTTCATAATGACGCATATGTATTGCTCTCTCTCTGGTTTGACTTATAAGACCCCACCTGACGTATGAATGTTATTAAATTTACTTCAGCAAAGTTTTCATTTACAAAAAATTTTGATGAAAGATAAACAAAGCTGTTTAGGGACTTTTGTTTATATATACATATATTGTTTTAACACGTCACTCATACGCAATGTGTAATCCATAAGAAATCCTCTGCATTTATATTATTTATTTTATTACAAAAAATCAAAAGAGTATTTTCTTAGCAAAATATTGAGTGTTTGCAAAAATCTTGATCAGCGACTTCTACAAGTAAAAATGGTAAAGAAATGGGAAATACTAGTGTATATAACGGTTGAATTCGATGGTTTCGATCTTCTCCTACATAAAATAAAGGTTTTCCATTTAAAATTATTGTATAAGTACAAGTTTAGAGGCCTGTTGTGATGCTGGTCCATCTTCTTCCAATTGTCGGTATGGTTACAGGAGACACTGTTGCAGCTCGAATGCGAACTACACACCCAGCTTACTCACCAGACATGGCACCTCTTGATTACCATATGTTCAGATTGGTGGAGCATGACTTGGCTGATATGCGTGTACGAAAATTTGAAGAAGTGCGAAAATCGGTCGATGGGTGGTTCGCTGTCAAACCAATAGAAGTTTTTTCGACGTGATATTGCCATGTTGCCATGGCATACATGTAAAATGTTATAGAAAATAATAGAAACTATTTTGATTAACGTAAACATTGTACCAATAAATGCCTTTTTCAAGTGAAAGTGTGATCAAAATTTTGCAATAATAGCATCGAATAGCAGTTACTGTTAATGTTTATTGTTTAGGAAAGCTAATGATTGAAAAAAGTAATGTGAGTACGTTTGTAAAAGTGAATCACCATTACGACGTTGGGTTATTCTCTAAAAGTTTTTGATTTAATTTCGTGTTTTACTCCTCTAAACTAATGTTTTCTGTATTAACCTTCATCCACGTATACACTACGAGTGACTAAAAGTGTATGCACCTAAAATACAAAATGAAGAATCAAACAAAAGGGTGTGATGAACTTAACAGTTCAACTATAACGCAATTGATTACAAGTAAAGAGCGTTCATTACAAACAGTGAGATTATATATAAATATACGAGTCGCTAGATTGTTAAAGCGTAAATGAGTAGTAAATATGCTCAAAGGCATCAAAAGGATTTTTAGCAATGCTTTTATTTAATAAAAGAACACAAAAACAACAATTTCACCACATACTACTTATAAAATCTACTCCCGGCGTTCCCTTTCCCATACAGCGTTACATTTCCTCCCATTCGTACGACTACTCTGTTAGGAAAATTATCAAAGGCGTTGAAGCCGTTGAAAACAAATTTAAAGGCATATATGATAGCTTTGAGTATAGCAATGAATAAAAGCTTAAGTTAACGTTAGATAGCACGTTCGAAATTCATTTTTAATACGATATTGTCAACATAATCAAGGAAATTTTATTCCTTAACTTAGAAAAAAGTTTCTTCAAAGACAATCGTTAATGTATGAAAATAGTGGGTATAATAAGATTCGTTGAAATTATTTCGAATATTTCTTGTTATCATTTTATCAGCACTTTTTTTTTTAAATAAAATTAATAATTACTGAAAACTTTGGTATCAAATTACTCTTAATAAAAAAAAGAAAAAAATATAAAAATATATTAAAAAAATGAAACAGTAACTAAACTAAAGTAAAAGACTTTTGAGAAATATTTGTAAATATTCTCTATCACTAAAAGTTAAAAAAAGTAAAACAAATTTGAACTTTGTCGTAAAACTATAATTAATATGATTCTAAATGTAAAAATATAAACACATACATCAAACGAATATTTATATTTACTTCGTTTGAATACAAACCAAAAGAAAAAAAAAAAAAATATACGCACAAAGTAAATAAACCAAAACTGAAAATGGATGAAAAAAACATTTAAAATTTATAACAGATTTGCTCAAGTTTAGCAAAGAGCCACAAAAGTAGTAAAAAAAAAAAGAAAAAAAAAAATAAATAAATAAACGACAAACAAA